GTTGCACTAGCCTGCTTTTCCAGCCTGAGTAGAGACAGTAGTCAATTATTCACGACAATCGATGAAATTCACAACAATCGATGCAGTCTGCACAGTTCTCTCTCTCTCACACTCTCTCTCTCTCTCTCTCTCTCTCTCTCTCTCTCTCTCTCTCTCTCTCTCTCTCTCTCTCTCTCTCTCTCTCTCTCTCTCTCTCTCTCTCTCTCTCTCTCTCTCTCTCTCTCTCTCTCTCTCTCTCTCTCTCTCTCTCTCTCTCTCTCTCTCTCTCTCTCTCTCTCTCTCTCTCTCTCTCTCTCTCTCTCTCTCTGTCAAATTTTCGATTTCGATCATCTTTAATAAAATTCAAATAAGTATCCCATATAGATTTTTCCTCACGTGAAGAACAGGTTTAGCTTGTACTAGGTGCACTTATAAGCCTCCTTCGGTGCCTTTACTCTAACAACTTGCAAGTGGCTCTTGTTGGTAATAATGACCAATATTATCTTTGGGTAATAGTTAAGAGGTTGTTGTCTTTCACATTTCTTGTATATTTCATGATGTATTTTTCTAAAATTCTGGCAGTTCTCTCCTTTCAAGTGGTTTAATATTATAGCAAAGTGTCTACACAGTGTTTCGGCTGTCTCTTTTGTAACAAGATATATCATGGATTGTTGATTGATAATATTCAATTATCTTTCGGAAAGTCCCTCATATTCGGGTATCTCTCATTTAAAGAATCTCAACCCTAGCACCATGTCAGGATCAAGATTTAAAACTTCTTGAAGCCATGTGCCCTCCCCCATCCCCCCACCCCCATCCCTTACCTATTCTATTTTATTTGGGTAGATCTATGATCAACCTCACAGTTATTTCCTCCATATGTGGCTTTGAAGCAGCTTTGGTTGAGCAATTGCCCTGGATGCTGTGAGTCTCATACTGCGTCTTCATTACTCTCTTAGTTCCTAAGTATTATGTCTTGATCATGTATACATATTGTGATTTCTTTCTGTACGCTTCTTTTTTCATTCTTTTACAACCTCTTCCTTTTCCTCGTATTCCACAGATTTTGCTTATTAAACCATTAGCAAAGGCTCTCCTTGATGTCTCTCCAGAAATTATATCTCCTTATTCTTTGAATTCTTGACATGCTGCTCCTATATTTTATCCCTCCCTCTTTGTTTATTGTTCAATGTTAGTACACATTACAACAAATACAACTCGGGGGTTAACGTTCTTCAATTGACATTTTGTGCTCAATGGTCTCAACTTCAGTGTCATTATGCGTAAAATCCAAAACTATGCTTGCTGGTTGACCACCCTCTCTGCTTCTTGTTTCCTCCTTGACATGTTGTTACTGAAACTCCTTATTAACTACTTTCAGTTTAGTTCTTCATATCTCTTCTCTTTTAGGAAAAAAAAGATCCGTTCTCTAATTTGAAAACAATGAACTTCTTTAGGGCTCCTTACTTGCTAATTAAATTTAGCCATGGTTGAAATATTTCGAAACTAAGACATTTGACATGAGTCTGTTGTCTCTCTACAACCCTGATTAATTGTAAATGCATTCTCTATTAATGTTTTTGTATCTTCTCCGGGTTATGTGTATCCCTCTGTGTGATTGTAGGACACAGTCAAAACCACACACATTCTCCTTCTATGGAAATGATTCGCTCGTAGCTGTTTGCCTCCTTAATATTCCTCAATGTTTGGCTCCTGTTTCCAAGACGCTATTTGCCTCTTTAATATTAATTATCCCTACAAAACACACGTTCCCTTGGCAATCCTCCCATTTGTTTCCTTCATGTTTGAAGTATCTGACTTTCCCGGGGAAATGCTGCATTAGTGATCGTTCCAGTTATTTTAGTCTCTACTATTGCAATTATAACAGGGTTTGTGTTCAAATATTTTTCTCTGTGTTACAACATTGTGGGTTCTGTTACAACATTGTGGGTTCTGTTACAACATTGTGGTTTCTGTTACGACATTGTAGGTTCTGTTACGACATTGTAGGTTCTGTTACGACATTTTGAGTTATGTTACAATATTGTGAATTGTGTTTCAGCATTGTTGGCTAAGCTGACGTGTTTTCTGAAGAGTCCCGGTGTGTACTGATACACTGTGGTACACTATATAACATGCTGTGTTACTGAGGTGTGATATTAAGATGTACTCTAACTGTAGTATAAAGGTGTATAATCATTGTAGTGATAAGATATACATTCATTTTAGTATTGTAGTGTGCCCATGATATGTGATACAGCGCTGAGGCATAACACTAAGGTGCAGCGCTGAGGCATAGCACTGAGGTGTAGCACTAAGATGTAGCACTGAGGAATAGTACTGAGATATAGCACTGAGGTGTAGTACTGAGGTGGAACACTGAGGTGTAGCACTGAGGCATAACACTGAGGTGTATCACTGAGGTGTAACACTGAGGTGTAGCTCTGAGGTGTAGCACTGAGATGTAGCACTGAGGTGTAGTACTGAGGTGTAGCACTGAGGTGTAGCACTGAGGTGTAACACTGAGGTGTAGCACTGAGGTGTAGCACTGAGGTGTAGTACTGAGGTGTAGCACTGAGGTGTAGCACTGAGGTGTAACACTGAGGTGTAACACTGAGGTGTAGCACTGAGGTGTAGCACTGAGGTGTAGCACTGAGGTGTAACACTGAGGTGTAGCACTGAGGTGTAGCACTGAGGTGTAGCACTGAGGTGTAGCACTGAGGTGGAGCACTGACGTGTAGCACTGACGTGTAGCACTGAGGTGTAACACTGAGGTGGAGCACTGAGGTGTAGCACTGAGGTGTAACACTGACGTGTAGCACTGAGGTGTAACACTGAGGTATAACACTGAGGTGTAACACTAAGGTATAACACTGAGATGTAGCACTGAGGTGCACTGAGATGTAGCACTGAGGTGCACTGAGATGTAGCACTGAGGTGTACTGAGATGTAGCACTGAGGTGCACTGAGATGTAGCACTGAGGTGCACTGAGATGTAGCACTGAGGTGTAAAACACAATCAACCTGTTCTCTTGAATAGAACGTCGCTTTTGGCCGTTTGCCCGTATGGCCGAATATGGACGTAATTTGAAAATGAAAAAAAAAATGAATATAAATTTTGGATTTTGTTTTTTCAACAACAGCATGTTAAAGGTCCTCTGATAGGTTAGGTGGGCAGGAAAATCTCATAAAGTTTCAAAACGGTATGAAAAACGTTAATGGAAAGAATCCTTTTCTAAGCTTGCCGAGTGAGCCGGAAGACTCAAACAGAAAACGGAACAGTACGTCACTTTTGTGAGTCGATTTCATTTCAAATTACGTCCAAATTTGGCCATAGCGCGCATACGAGCGAAAAGTGACGTTATTTTTAAGAGGACGGGTTGAACACTGAGGTGAGGAACTGAGACATACCACTGTGGTGATGAAATGAAGTACAGTTAAGGTGTAGTGTTCAAGTATATCCTTCCCTTCGATATTACTCACCTGCGACCCTTCCTCCGTCTCCCCCATCCCCCCACCCCTCCCATCCCCCTCCACAACCAATACAATAAACAACCCCCCAACTTCCCCCCCCCCCAACTCTCCTCCCATCCCAACAGCACGCCATCTCCGTTTTCTCTCAACCAACTGTCATCACAGAAAATGGATCTAACCTTCATTGACTCCTTAATGTATGCCTCTTTTCTAATTCTGTGTGCCTCTTCCTTGCGATAGTAGCAATAGTTGTAGTAACAATAGTGGTAACTGTAGTTGTGTTA